ATCAAAGCTCCGTTTCACGTGGATCAAATCGATTGTTTATTTGTTGAGTCTAGGACCAAGCTAGGAAATAAGTAAGTAAGTAAGTAATTAAGAAAGAAAGAAAGTAAGTGTGTAAGTAAATAACTAAGAAAGTAAGTAAGTAAGTAACTAAGAAAGAATGTAAGTAAGTAAGTAACTAACTAACTAAGAAAGAAAGAAAGAAAGAAAGTAAGTAAGTAAGTAAGTAAGCTATAAGTAAAGTAAAGTAAGCTTTTTATTTTTTTGTTATTTCCATTCAATTACATATAAAAGATCTCGATTTTTAAGAAAATCAAATTTTGTATGAAAAAAAGTGTTCCAGAAAGCGTATGGGATGACTAAAAAAACCCAAAAACCTTGTAGAAAAGCAAATTTTGTGCTTTAATAAACACACAATCTCTAGCACATCTCTAGCACAATCTCTAGCACACAATGCCAACTGTTATCAATCTCGCAACACGACAATTTGTAGAATCATTTAAGTGTTTGTAGCACAATTGTTTGTAGGGCAATTGTTTGTAGAAGAATTGTTTGTAAAACAATTTAAGTCTTAAACATTGGATTTCAGATTCTCTTCTTACTAAAAAGTATAAAATCTATTTAAATTATAGTTTCCGATCTTCCGATCTTTTTTCCCTTTTATTTCAATATCCAAATCTACATTCACATCACCCAAAAATCCAATGACCTTCACAGAAAAATAGGAATTATTTCCGCTATTTGAAATCTCTACAGAAGTTAGATTTGTTTTTAAATTGGTAGAGATTATTTGAAAATTCAAAGCGAAAACTTTATTGTTTTACTTCATTGTTATAAGAAGTAAGTAAAGTCAAAGAAAAAGAGAGATTAAGCAATATTTACAAGTTTATCTATCATTTTTAGAGGTGACAAACATTGAAAACGATAAACGTTCTTTGACTTTCTTAAAACGATAACTTTTGTATGACGAAAAGGATGAAACAGAGCACAAAAATCGGTGACGTTCTTTTCCCTTTTCTCTATGATTTTCAAGTATTTCAAGTATTTTTCCACGCTTATAAAGCAAAATTTTTCATTGACAAATGGATGAAGGTCAGTGATTAAACAATTACAAAAAAGATTTGCAAAAAACATCTAAAGAAAAACACTTTGGATTTGGGTAGATTCGGGTAAACTTGTTTTCGAAAATTCGGCAAAAACTACCATAATTTTCCCTTCAGATTTTATTCGATTCACTCAATAATGATCACAATAATTAGTAGATCATTGAAAGAGCTTTAAATCAAGTAGAGTTACGATAGTTTTCCCTAAACTATCTATCTTTTGCTTGCAAGAAAAGTACGATAATAGGATTGCAAAAAGCTAGAGGTTTTTAGAACTATTTAGAACTATTTAGAACTATTTAGAACTATTTAGAACTATTTAGAACTATTTAGAACTATTTAGAATCGATTTAGAACTATTTTGAACTATTTTGAACTATTTTGAATTATTTAGAACTATTTTGAACTATTTTGAATTATTTTGAACTATTTAGAACTATTTAGAACTATTTAGAACTATTTAGAACTATTTTGAACTATTTAGAATTATTTTGAACTATTTAGAACTATTTAGAACTATTTAGAACTATTTTGAACTATTTTGAACTATTTTGAACTATTTTGAATTATTTAGAACTATTTTGAACTATTTTGAATTATTTAGAACTATTTTGAACTATTTTGAATTATTTAGAACTATTTAGAACTATTTAGAACTATTTAGAACTATTTAGAACTATTTTGAACTATTTTGAACTATTTTGAACTATTTAGAACTATTTAGAATCGATTTAGAACTATTTAGAACTATTTAGAACTATTTTGAACTATTTTGAACTATTTAGAACTATTTAGAACTATTTAGAATCGATTTAGAACTATTTAGAACTATTTAGAACTATTTAGAACTATTTAGAACTATTTAGAACTATTTAGAACTATTTAGAACTATTTAGAACTATTTAGAATTATTTTGAACTATTTAGAACTATTTTGAACTATTTAGAACTATTTAGAATCGATTTTGAAATTGTTAAACTTTAGCAAACATTGGGATAAACAAAAAAGATGAATGGATGAAGAGAAACGAATTGCAGAGATCAAATACACAAGTAAAAAGCGATTCGAGAAAGAAAAAGGAAAGGAAAAGTCGAAAAAAAAGGGGAATCACGTAAACATCGTGATAAAAATAAAAGGAAATGAAAAAAAAAGGGAAAATGACTCGATCGATCGATCGATGAATCAAAATCAACAACTTTACCTTTAGATCTTTAAATTCGGGTAATTTGGTGTTCGAATTTATCGCCAAAATCGTTCCGATAAGAAGAATTGTGTTTTAAATTGTAAAAAAACGGCAATGTCACTCGAAAATAGAAGCGTTCATTTTCGCATTTTTTTGCTCTCAAATCACCTTTCGTTGCCATGAACCATTTCAATCGAAAAAGAGCGAAAAAGAGCGAAAAAGCCTCAGCTGAGAGCGATAAAAATCAGGGAAATTTGGAAATATGAGAAAAAAGAAAAGGAATCAATTGATGGAAATGAAGAGTGGAATTTTATTGATTCATGTTAGAAACAGGGAGATTCGTTTCTTGCCGAAGCCCTGTAGACAAGTTAGTTTAGGGTTTGGTGAGGTAAACCATAGCAGGATTTGTGACTAGCCGGTTTAGCTTTTGCCGCTTAGCTTTTGCTTTTGAAAGAAGCCTATTCATGATTTTGGTTTATTTTGAAACTGAAAGATGGATAAAAAGAAAGAAGATAATGTTAAGATAAGAAAATAGACACTGATTCAAGATCAAGATCAATCAATGCCAAGATTAATCAATGCCAAGATTAATAAATGCCAAGATCAATCAATGCCAAGATCAATAAATGCCAAGATTAATCAATGCCAAGATTAATAAATGCCAAGTTCAATCAATGCCAAGATTAATCCATGCCAAGTTCAATCAATGCCAAGATCAATCAATGCCAAGATTAATCAATGCCAAGATTAATCAATGCCAAGATTAATCAATGCCAAGTTCAATCAATGCCAAGTTCAATCAATGCCAAGTTCAATCAATGCCAAGATCAATAACCAATCCAAAAATCAAAATCTTTTATAATTCAAGTTATTTTAACAGATTTATAATCAATATTTTCAGTGAACAAATGAGAAGAGAAAAAAAGAAAAAGAGATAAATGACGTGTGTTGTTGTGCCCTGAAGAAAAATCTCATGAAATCTCTTTTTCTTTTTCTGGAATCAAAATCACACCTATCTTGTCGCTTTTTTTTTCGGTCAAAAATAGAGATAATCAATGAAGGAAAAGAAGAAAGAGTTAGTGATTATTATTTTAGCGTTTAAAAATTTCATTTTCAATCAAAATCGACTGCCAAAATCGTAGAAACACGACGTGATCCCTGCAAGTGTTCACATAAATATCTCATTCTTTTTTCTTTTTGCTCATAAAATTAATCGGGGAATTTTGTATGTTGTGAATATTTATTGCAAATTCTCGTGATGCATCGACTTTTGGTGAACAAAAAAAAGAAGGGAAATTGGGAGTGGGACAAATGCGACCTTTTTTTTGTGCACCTGGACCTTTGCGCACCTTTTTTTCCGCACTTAGCCCATTGGCGCACCTTTTTTTCCGCACTTAGCCCATTGGCGCACCTTTTTTTCTGCACTTAGCCCATTGGCGCACCTTTTTTTCCGCACTTAGCCCATTGGCGCACCTTTTTTTCCGCACTTAGCCCATTGGCGCACCTTTTTTTCTACACTTAGCCCATTGGCGCACCTTTTTTTCTGCACTTAGCCCATTGGCGCACCTTTTTTTCCGCACTTAGCCCATTGGCGCACCTTTTTTTCCGCACTTAGCCCATTGGCGCACCTTTTTTTCTACACTTAGCCCATTGGCGCACCTTTTTTTCTGCACTTAGCCCATTGGCGCACCTTTTTTTCTGCACTTAGCCCATTGGCGCACCTTTTTTCGCGTTTTAAAAAAGCTCTAAAAGCTAATATTAACCAATTTCTATTCCAAAAGTTGTTTTTCTAGGTAATTTGAGGGTGTCGAATTCAAATTTTGACATAACAGAGCGTGTGGAACCAATTTGAAAGACAAAACGGCTAGGTCAAATTACAGAAAATTGTTTGATTTTTCTCTTTGTATAACTCGGTCCGTTCGCTTCCACACGCTCTGATATGTCAAAATTTCGATTCTACGCCCTAAAATTACCTAAAAAAACAACTTTTAAAATAGAAATTGGTTAATATTAGCTTTTTAGAGCTTTTTTAAAACGCGAAAAAAGGTGCGCTAATGGGCTAAGTGCGGAAAAAAAGGTGCGCAAATGTCCGGGTGCGCAAAAAAAAGGTCGCATTTGTCCCACTTTCGGGAAATTCGATATTTTTTTTGTTCAAAAAAGAATAGATTGAAGAAAATTAAAGAAAATTGAAGAAAATTGAATAAATTGAATTGAAGAAATAAGCTTATAAGATAACTAGAGAGGTCGAGAGTAAATTGAGTCCATTTCGCTCTTGCTAGTAAAAGTTACAAGTTTAAAGAACTTGTTAACAAATTCAGAGAACAATTCAGAGAACGATTCAGAGAACAATTCGGAGAACGATTCGGAGAACAAATTTTGAAAAAAACCGTCTAGTTTGTAAGTCAAATGTGAAAAATTTCGAAATCTCGAAATCTCGAAAACAATCTCACCAAATTTACCGTAATTCGATTGTTTCTAAACTACCGTATTCAAATTTTGTCTCATTTTATTTATGATTTATATCCATTCAAATAGAATCATTTTATTCCACAACCGTTTTTTGTTTTTTTTTTTTTTTTTTTTCAAAAATAAATCCTCTTTGACTAAACAAGTGATTTTTTTGGGTTAAATAAAAAACAGAGATAAACCCGAAATTTTTAAAAAGAATTAGCTGAATATCTTTTAGATATTTACAAGCAAATAAATATATTCACTCAACAAATCAATTTGTTAATACAAGCTTCTTTTAGACGATCGATTGCTTCTTGAGTGAAACGGGGACGACCCGAATAATCCGCATAGGAAATCCATTCCAATTGAGGGCACCAATCGGCTAATACCTGAAGAAAATCTTTAGATCTTTAGATTTTCATAGGATAATAATAAATAATAATAATAATGATTTTGATCTGTCTTCGCACTTAGCGCAGATCACAACCCGCTTCCACATTTACTGAGGCAGAAGTGTAGTTGTCGTAGCCGATGATACTCCGATGGCCGGGCTGGGGCGCTCGGAGGGGAACCCATGGGAGTCGAACCCACGACTAACCCGCGCCGACGTTGCTCAACTTGGCAGATCGGACGGGGTCGACCACAGACCCTTCCCTTTCTGGGCCCCATAGGATAATACTTAAAAGAGAAAGTCAATTGACTGAGCCGATCAAATGCTATGCGATCTATACCATTCGACGCAGAATTTTATGCTAATTCCATATATACAGGGTGCGGCAAAAGTTCGGAGTCGCTATGAAAACATTGCAGAAAATTTAGCTCACGCTTTTTTTTGTGTCTCGTATACTTATAAATCTGCTTTGAAACGAGCCTGGGATGAAATAACTGTTTAAGCGTGCGCCACCATCGTGAGGCACTTCCCAAAGCGTTTAAAGAGGTGTATCGAAGCGGATGGTGGAAATTTCGAGCATTTGTTATAAGTTATTTGTTGTTATGATTCGAATAAAGAGTTTGTTATTAATTTTTAACTTTTTAAAGCTAGTTTTTAAACATTTAACTATCTTAAGAAGCGGCTCTAAACTTTTGCCGCACCCTGTATGCTCCGCTTTTGCTAAATGAAAATCTGCTAGGAGCTATAAGTGTCTAAAGTTTTGTTAGAAGGGCTAATACCTGAAGAAAATCGTTTAGATTTTTATCGTTTCTTTCTTTCTTTCTTTCTTTCTTTCTTTCTTTCTTTCTTTCTTTGCACTTACTTGTAATGATCGATCTGTGCAAGCTGTGCCTCTGATTCTCACCTCTCTCAATGGACATCTTCTGAAAGAATGCTTAATATTATTCAAATTTTCTTTTTGAGATCATTTTCCTTTGCATTAATAGAGTATTCAGATGTGATTTTGATTTTTTTCTAATAGAGTATTCATTTTCTCATCATTTACCTAGCCATTCTTGTTAATCCTTTATCAGTCACATATCGACAACCATTGAAATTAATATTCTGTAATTGACGACAATTTGATGCCAACAATGCCAAAAAACGATCATCAACACAAGGCATATATGACATTTCCATATCCTAAAAATATTATTTATTAAATAATCGAAATGTTTGAAAGCTTTCTTTTTAGTAAAGAACTTTCATATTTCAATCGTTTACTTGACTTGCTTTCCTTCTTCGCACTGTTCTATCAGAGCTTGCTGCTTATTTCATCAAACAAACCCTCAGAAGAGTCTGATGAATAGCTCCAATCAATTCGCTGCCCTCGAAAACCCCCAAACAAATTTTACAGCTCCAAGATCTTCTTTCCATACCATAAGAAAAATCTCTGGGTAAATGACTGGCAACATGTTCTTTGTGCGCGCACAATCGCTATCTATCTGGCATACGCGTCTGGCATAAGGGCTTTTCTTTTAGAACTAACCGTCACATTTCTGGCTCCTCTGGCTATCGCAAAAAGTACTCTATAGGAAAGTCTCATCCTTGACATCTTCAATGTTCTCAATCCCGAGCCTGGTCCTTCTAAAATAATATTTCTAAAATAATAATATATCTTCAATCACTTGTAAACATTTTTTGTAGCAGCAAATTATTCATATTTTTCACATCAAGTGCAAGATGGGTTAGATTTGGGCAAAAATCCATTAAAACATTGAAAGTTGGCTCGAAGAGACGCGCCACTGAGATCTGAAAATGAGAAATAAAGACTCAAAACTTTATTCAGCCATTTCCCTGTTTACCTGCATCAAATTGATTTTGTGTCCAATGTATGGAAGAGCCAAACATAATAAGTTATTCACGGCATCGATTGCTTGCTAAAATCTGACTGTAATCTGACTTGTTAAGATTGTTGAGATCTTTGAAATACATAATATACCGTATTTTCTCTAATAGTAGTGCACCCAAGCGAGCCGAGTTGATGACTAATTGACGGTTTCCAAGCTTTTACAGAAGCTCAACACTCTAATCCCCCACTAGATCTCATCGTCAGCTACATTTTCCGACCCCACATCGATAGGTTCTGATAAGCGGTTTTTGAGATTTCGAGGAATTTAGGCGAAGCTTTGGGTACACTACTATTAGAGAGAATACGGTATATTATTCCAGGTTATGCTAGTAGATCAGACTGATCTATTTCCCTAATATTTCCGGGTGAGCCGAGTTGATGCCTATTTTACAGTTTCCAAGCTTTTGCAGAAGCTCAACCCTCTAATCCCCCACTAGATCTCATCGTCAGCTACATTTTCCGACCCCACATCGATAGGTTCTGATAAGCGGTTTTTGAGATTTCGAGTAATTTAGACGACGATCGGGGTGCGCTACTATTTAGAGAAAATACGTTATATAAGACTTTTACATGATCCACTTACAACACTATCCTCTCGACAAGTTGCAATTAAATCAATCGTTTGAAGATAGGGTTTCGTTTCAAGACTTCCAATCTGAAAATACCTTTAAAATCTGATCCGAAAATGGCTTCTAGTTAAAGATAGGCTTACGATTGCATTATTTACAAAAAAACAAATTCGATCCTTGTAACAAAGCTTGTACGTTTTTTTTCCTATTCCCAGCTTTGGTGACCAGAATCAAAGTGATTTCAAAACGTTTTTTTTTACATAAAATGGCAAAATTGAACGTAAAGTGGTTTATATGATCAACTCATTTCCATTTAAACAAACCAATTGAGCGACATCTTCTTCTCCCGATACAGACAATCGAATATGATTGAGCGTTGTCGGTAATGGAGGTAAAGTCACAAAGAAATTCGCTAAAAGACTAAATCGTTAGTAAAATGATTAAAACCCACCATAAAGATCAACATTTCTCAACGAGAGTCCATCAATTCGATATGGGTTTACATCAAGCATTTCTTCATCCTGAAACACTTTCAATATTGTTGATGTTGATCAATAAGATTCAATATTGTTGAACAAGAGAAGTAACAAGAAAAGTAACAAGAAGACTAACAAGAACAGTTAACAAATCAATTAACAAGGTGATTAATAAGAAGATTAACAAGAACAATCGAGTGGTGAACTGGCTTGCTCGCGACGGTTTGAACCGGTCGTAAGTCATAACAAGTCGTAACAAGGTACCGGTAGGTGAACCTGCCGGTGGATCAATACTGTAAACGCCTCGCGTCACAGTGTGCTACAACACTTATAAGCAGCTAGAAACGCCCGATCGCTACTGTCGCGGCAACGGAAACCGTTGGTGTCTACGCCTTGCGGAGAATACTCGCCAACCGTCGAGTTGATACTCTCATAAGGATGGCCTTGTTAACAAATCAATTAACAAGAAGATTAACAAGAAGATTAACAAAAAGATTAACAAGAAGATTAACAAATCAATTAACAAATCAGTTAATAAATAAATTAACAGATCAATTAACAAATCAATTAACAAATCAATTAACAAATAAATTAACAAGAAGATTAACAAGAACAGTTAACAAATCAGTTAACAAATAAATTAACAGATCAATTAACAAATCAATTAACAAAAACCTGTACTCACGTTACCTGAAAAAATCTCGCTAACGATAATTGCTTCAAATTTGGACACGATGAGATGAGATGTGAAAGTACTGATGATGAATCGGGAATTATATTGAGAAAATCCAATTCGAGAATCTAAAGGATTAATTTATCATATAATCTATAAATATTTGACCGATAGCTTTTCGGGTATATAATAAGATATATGATAGAAAAGCATTTCATCCAATCCAGTGCAACTATTCAAGTAAAGAGCCTCGATATTCCGATTCCACGATAAAAGCTCTTGTAAACCCTCGGAAGTGATCTGGAAATGAAAGGTTTTTTTGCGTAATTAAAGCCTAAATCTTTCCCCAACCTGTTTACATCCACTAATATCCAATGTTTGAAGATGAGGAGAACGAATCATTGAAAGACCGAGATCGGTTAACTGAAAGAAAACAATGTTAACCAAAAGAAAGCTTTCCATTTTCATTTCCATTTCCACTTCCCCCTCACTTGATTCATCGATCTCAACTCCAACGTATGCAAATTGAACTGTGCCCTCGTCACACTCTGCACACCCGTATCGCTCACATTTTTACACTCAATCAACGTGATTTTATCTAAGAATTTGTTGTATTCCGTCAGATGAGCCAACATTCCGTCGTTCACCTGAAAAAAAGCATTTGGCGTGGTTGACTCATAATATTGGGTTGGGGACTATGACTCGGCGCCGAAAATCAAAAAAATGTCTAAAACTTCTATTCGACTTCGTCAAATAATATGCGTTTGATATCAGTAGAATGGTTAACTAATTCTCTACAAAATGACATTTAAAAGAAAATTCAAACAGCGCCTCCGCTCAAGAAAAAGCCATTTTTTCACAAAAACTGCAAACTGTCATCTAGAAAAAACCATTGGTGGGATCTTCCTGCAAATTTGGCAACTTAAGTAATTGAATGTGCTCTATCTTTTTTATATAAACACCAAAGAAGGTTTATGTGAAAGAAACTGTTCAAATGATGAGTCGGGCTCTTTGCCATTTTGACTAGCTGTGTTTGGAAGTTCATAAACTCCACGAAAGAAAAGCTTTGTGGAATCTCTCAAAAGTCATTTTGTAGAGAAATAGTGGATCCTTTTGATGAAACCAAACGTATGTTTTGTTTAAAGAAGGCTTTATGTGTGCAAAAAGTCCCTTTAAAGTTTGGCGCCGAGTCATAGTCCCCAACCCAATAGTTTTTAATATTTAAAAGATCAGTAAACGTTTGGCAATCTGGTGCAGAAATGTTCAAATTGGCTTTACGCCATCTGTCGCAATCTTGCCAGAAGACGAATTTCTACACAAAATTGTTGATTTGTTAACTCATCTCACCTCATCCGAGAGATAAAAATAGATTGTGGATAAATTCATTCCGAAAAGTGGATATTTCATCAAATCCCCACTATCGCCAAGGCCCAGCTGAAAGAATTTCTTGGGAAAATGATTTTAAAATGTTTCAAAAATGAATTCCCATTTTATAATTCGTGTTACCCGATCATGACTCGAGAGGAATTCCAATACTTTGTGTTTACAATGAATCGGCATATACCCCAAATCGATGCGTATCCGCTCGCGGCAAACAACTGAAATGTTTCAATTTCGTTTCTCTAAATCTTTATTTTATCTTTATTTTTTTTTTTGATTTATTAAAGCTTTTAAATTCTTTTAAACACACCTGTTAATGCAAAATCGAAGAGACTTTTGACCATAGTGCATCAGAGTTGAAAGTTCAATGGAAAACAAGTGAAATTGCTGAAGAATTTGATTTACTTTATCGAATATTAAATGTACAGCTGGAGGAATGACAGAAGGTCTTTAGGTTAAACATATAAATTGCAGATAAATTACTTCAGAAAAATAAGAATGAAATTACAGCTGAGATCACGTGAAAGAAGAAGAAGAAAAAAGAAGAAGAAAAACCAAAAAGAAGAGTGAATATATATATGCTTTATTCAGTTGAATAGCGACAAGACAAAATCACAATAATTACCCGGGGCACCACTCAAAACACACCCAAAAGATAAATGGATACCTCTAGAAAGAATCACAGAGCAGTCAAATCAATTGCCGAAATTGCGGCTTTAAATCTAGCCAAGGTGGAAATATCACGAACATGAGGGGGTAAAATGTTCCAGAATTTAATAACTCGATTAAAAAAGAAACTGTGGGGGCTTTTAAAGGAAACGGAAGGTTGGCGTATGAGAAAAGGCCCCCTTCGCCCGTAGGGGCCCCGGAGGCGCCCCGTAGAGAACCGAATTCAAAGAGACCAGAAAAAAGGGAGTCGGGTTGAATGCCTTTAACAATTTTAAAGCATTCCACTAAATCGATGATAAAGCGGCGTTGGTGTAACATTTCAAGACCAAAATGTTGCAATCTATCAGAATAAGTAAAGGAGGAGAATTTGTCAAAATTAATTTTATAAAGAGCAATTCTGGTGAAGTGCCTCTGAACACGTTCTATTTTTTGAATAAGATATAATAGGGAAGGAGACCAAACAAGAGAAGCGTATTCAAGAATTTACTTTATAGAATATTAAATGACAGCTGGGGGAATGATAGAAGGTATTTAGGTTAAACAGATAAATTGCAGATAAATTACTTCAGAAAAATAAGAATGAAATTACAGCTGAGATCACGTGAAAGAAGAAGAAGAGGAAGAAGAAAAAAGAAGAAGAAAGAGGAAGAAGAAGAAAAAAGAAGAAGAAAAAACAAAAAGAAGAGTGAATGGAGAACAAATGACTGGAAGTTGTTGAAAGAAAAGGAAAAAGAAGAGAAGAGATCTGGTCACGATGCATTTACTGGCGAATAGGGAAGGGGAAGAGATCCGGTCATGGGGAAGAAGGGAATCCTCATCCCAATCAATCCATCAAATTCACTTTATTTACCCAATTAAGTTTTTTTAAAACAACAACCCGCTGAATAGAAGGGATTTTATGGAAGATCAAAGTTGAGATCTTCGATTTTTGTCGACTTTTGATCTTCGATTCTAATACAAATCTGTTGCCCTCTTCTGAACGTGCATTCTCTTTTACACAATCTTTTTTGCATTCATTCTCAAGAGCTTATCTTGTCTTATGTTTAACTTTGAAATCTTGTGGATCAGAATATTTTTGTGAATGAAAAAGGTACGAAAGAGTAAAAAACAGAGAGTACCAAATTTGAATATAAAAGCACCGAATTTGTAACAAAAAGAACGATAAAACTTTCGTTGAATTCTCTGTAAACTGTCTGTCAGAAGATTAGCTTCGCTAGAAAATATCAAAAATTTTATGAATTAGCTACAGTGGTCCACAAAAGTAATGCCCCATTGCCATTCCAAAGGTATTTTTTGCAAAATTCCTCCTGAAAACATGTATTTAAAATATATTTTTTTTTCTTTATACTTTAGTATTTAGTATAGTAATACTTTAGAAATTCTAGTTGTTAAATAACTGGATTTTTTTTTTGATTGAGTGCAATTACCCCTAAAATTAGCTCCACAAAAGTAATGCCCCATTGATCGTTTTCATGATTATTCTTTTTGTTTCTCCTTCTATGAACATTAAATGTATTCTATTGTATTATTTAGATTCCTGACATGAAAAATCTTGACACTCCGAAGAAGCTCCAAATCGCTAAGGCCCGGGAAAATGGGATGCGGGAGAAGGATGTGGCCAACCTCTTCAATTGCTCGATATGGACAGTGCGCCGCATTTTTTCTCAATCAAAAGCCGGCAAAAACCTTCATCGAGGCCTCAAGAGTGGCCGACGACCAATCACAACCATAAAAGAAGTTCGAGCCGTGATCAAAATGGTGAAAAACGAGCCGAACAAAACATCAACCGATGGAAGCCAAATGACGAGGGATCAATTTAACAAGGTTGTATCGCCGGAAACGATCAGGCGATGATTAAATCAAGCTGGATTATATGCAAGAATGTATTCTATTGTATTATTTAGATTGTATTTATTACTTTTGTGGACCACTGTATTAGCAAGAATAACAAAAGTGTCAATGATTTTTAAAAAAATCGTGAAGTAAATCTGGGTTATCTTAAAGAAAAGAAAAAACTTTCGCTAGACGTAGTTCTTTTGAAATATTTCAGAAATGAGGAAAATTGAGAGGGGTTTTTTTTTGGATGAGGTGAGTGACGGGACAGAGAAGATTTGGGAAGAGAAAGGCGAAGGAGGATTCGATCTTTCAAGAAAAATATCGAGTGATGGGGGAAAGAGAGGGGAAAAAAGGAATGGAAAAGATGAATAGAAAACGGGGAAAAGCTTGAGAAAAGATAAAGAAAATTGGGGAAATCGAGGAGACAAAAAAAGTGAGGATTACACTATTTGAAAGGTGAAAAGGAAAGGCCATTTCAGCGCACGGATCTCTTTTCACCTCTAAACTCACCAATGAATTCAATTTCAACAGTGAGTAGACAATCTAGACAAGAAAAAAAATGCAAAGATTTCTTTAAGTTGACTGTTCTTGTTTTGTTCAACTGTTTTCTAAGTTCTTGTTTTGTTCAAAGTTGACTTTTCCCTTCGAGAGAGGTCACGAGAAGGGAAAAGAAAGGAAAAAAGGAAAGAAAAGGAAAGAAAAGGAAAGAAAAGGACACAAGTCACTCAAATGGGTTTAATTTTGATCAACAAATACTTGAAAATGGCTTTACTTTCAAAAATAACATCATCAACATATCATCAATCATCAACTTATTGTGTTACGAATTGCATTTGTGGAGTCGAAATTCTTTTTTATAACTCTTGTAATGTTGGTTGATTAAAATCTGATAAATCTGATCTAAATCTGATAAAACCTGATCAAATCTGACAAAATCTGATAAAATCTGATAAAATCTGACAAAATCTGATCAAATCTGATCAAATCTGACAAAATCTGATAAAATCTGATCAAAATTTGATAAAATCTGATCAAATCTGACAAAATCTGATCAAATCTGATCAAATCTGACAAAATCTGATCAAATCTGATCAAATCTGATCAAATCTGACAAAATCTGATAAAATCTGATCAAATTTGATCAAATCTGATCAAATCTGACAAAATCTGATCAAATCTGATCAAATCTGATCAAATCTGACAAAATCTGATAAAATCTGATCAAATCTGATCAAATCTGACAAAATCTGATAAAATCTGATCAAATTTGATCAAATCTGATCAAATCTGACAAAATCTGATCAAATCTGATCAAATCTGACAAAATCTGATAAAATCTGATAAAATCTGATCAAATCTGATCAAATCTGACAAAATCTGATAAAATCTGATCAAATTTGATCAAATCTGATCAAATCTGACAAAATCTGATAAAATCTGATCAAATTTGATCAAATCTGATCAAATCTGACAAAATCTGATCAAATCTGATCAAATCTGACAAAATCTGATAAAATCTGATCAAAATCTGACAAAATCTGATAAAATCTGATCAAATCTGATCAAATCTGACAAAATCTGATAAAATCCGATCAAAATTTGATAAAATCTGATCTAAATCTGCTAAATCGGACCAAAATCTGATAAATCTGATAAAATCATGCATTTCTATTGCATAAAAAGTGATGTAATTGAATCAAGCTTCTCAAAAGAAATACATTTTTCTTTCTTTTTCTTCAAAAAATATCTAAAATTTCAATAGCATATTGATAATGATAATCACAGTTATTCCAAAGGTGATTATTGTGAAAAGAACAAATATCAACGAGCTCGTCCACATCAACTGAAAAGGAAAAATTAAAAGGAAAGAAACTCATTGAATGAAACTTCAAAAACACTCGTGAATGAAACTTAAAAAGCAAAAAGCCTTACCCAATCTTCTTTTTCTTTCAATAACTAAAACAATAAAAAGTTTTCTCTCTTTTTAACCATTTCTTCTTAAACAAAACCTTTTTCCTTTTCTCTTCAGCATCAGTTGAATCGTAGATCTGTTTTTTGTTTTCACTCAGCTCCATATCAGAACCGATTCTCATTGGAGATGTTGTCATTCGGAAAAGAATCTTAAAATGATTATTTTTATACCGTTTTCTCTTTGTTCTTTGTCAAAATTAACTACCGATTCTTAAAGAGCTGAAAAATGACGCTTTTTTTTGATGACTTTTGTCTCTTTTCTAGCTTAGATCAATAATTGATCAATAATTTAAAGTATTTATGGAATAAATATATTTATTTAAGTAATAAATTCATTTGATTACCTCTAAAATGACAACACAAATAGCGATGATGAAGAGAAAAATCAACCAAAAGAACCAAACGAGATCCGGTCGATGGAAACGTTTACCGAACTTTTGAGCCACCAGAAACATGGCACCCACTGAAATTGATACCAATTAGAACGTAGAATAAAGCTGTGAAAGCTTGAAATGTTCTTAACACTCTTCAATTCACACAACTCACTTGCAAACGCCAGCGAAGTAATCCCACAACAGCGATGCAGTAAATTGAATAAAAAACGCTTTTGTGTCGCGGGTTTTGGACGAAAATAGGCCATTATCGGCTGAAGAGTGGCCAGGGAAATCGAGATGGCACCCAGCTAGCAAAAGGGAAATGTTTTCAAGAAAGATCTTTGTGCTTTAACTTACAAAGCTGTGCAGAACGCCTGGTGAGAAAAAGTTTCTGCCGAACCATGGACCCGTCCAGCTGAAATTGTGAATAAATGTTCAAGTGGTTGGTGTAAAAGCCTAATTGTAAGCTAAGTATTGGGTTGGTGAATTGAAAACTGCCGGACTTTGAACTAAAATTTATTCAACATAAAACCATCAATTCATACCAAATAAGTTCCATTATTATTGACGACTTCTGTGAATTTTACAGGCAATTTGCGGATTCCTCTTTCGTAGTAGGATTTTGGCTTGTGTGTGAGACAAGTGTGAGACTCAAAAATCGAGGACTGGAGATGTCCGATGTCTCAGTTTGAGCACTTTCTACAAAAGAAACCCATTTTGGTGCCAATGGAAAAGTTGTAGAGAATCAAAAATGAGGCTTATATCCAAATTTCCAAAAAGATACACTTAGTAGTTTCGCTTAAAATGCAAGTTTTGTGAAAGTTTCGTAAATTTGGCACTTCTTCAAAACCGGTTTTTGAATCGTTCTGAAAATTTGGATATAAGCTTGATTTTTGATTCTCTACAACTTTTCCATTGACACCAAAATGGGTTTCTTTTGAGGAAAGTGCTCAAACTGCCACATATGACAATAGCCCGCAGTTTTCAATTCACCAACCCAATAGTTTATACAGAAAAAACATTTTCAGTTGTTCTCGTCAATTTACAATCACAAAATCTCTTCAATTCATGTTCGTTTTGATCCGGATTCATTAAGGGAAAAGCGCAAAAAAATGGATTGCACGTAGAGTTAAACGATGGAAATTTTTTCAATTCACCAACCCAATACTTCTACTTATTCGATCACTTTTGCTTCTTCCTTATGTGCCATTTTCTTAGCTTTTCTATCTTGTTATCAGAAAATCTTTAAACACAAAAGTTTCTAAAAGAATTGTTATGTTTCAGATGATGAGAATTTTTCGAGATTTTCAATTTAAAAAGAATACTTTAAAAAAGATTTCATTTAAAAAGGATTCTTCAGCTTATTTTTCAGCTTCAGCTTCAGCCTTTCAAAAAACCGATTTCATTGATGTAATATCAAATGTTTTCATTTATCAAATTCAAAAAAATTCCAAAATGTAGAGGAGACCTTCAGCTTTCGAATGATATATATGTTGTGTCCGATTTAGATTTCCGTCCGATTTAGATTGAACTTATCGCGGACGTCCGATTTAGATTACAGTCTATATCGGACGTCCGATTTAGATTGAACTTATCGCGGACGTCCGATTTAGATTACAGTCTATATCGGACGTCCGATTTAGATTCAATCTAAATCTTATATAGATTGAACAATAATATAAACATGTTTAGTATATGTTCTTAAGCGTTTTCTGTAGTTTTCTGCATTTTCAAAGGTCTTTTATTGATTATTTCATAGTTGGGTTTTCTTTTCAGAAAAAGACAATAACAGACCTTTGAAAAATGCAGAAAACTACAGAAAACGCTTAAGAACATATACTAAACATGTTTATATTATTGTTCAATCTATATAAGACGTCCGATTTAGATTGAGTCTAAATCGGACGTCCGATATAGACCGTAATCTAAATCGGACGTCCGCGATAAGTTCAATCTAAATCGGACGGAAATCTAAATCGGACACAACATATACATGCTGAATATATATGTAACACTCATATACATCTGTTCGATATCTTGAGAAACTTACAAAATCGTAAAAACGCGCATTCATAACTCGACAACCCAATAGCAGGTCGTTATAGAGAAGTACTCGACTGTACTCGTAAAAAGCCTTACCGAAATCCTTGTGCATACAAAATAAAGCCAATAGAAACTAGTGACAAGATCACCGCTGCGTAATTCGAATTTCGATGTAACTAAATGGGAATTGGCATTTATTTTTTTGGAAAGCGATTACTTGGAACCAATTCGGCAATTTGAAAACACTGTTGCGCGAGGAATGATTTCGAAGATATCTGAAGTAGAAAGATGAAGGAGGAGAAAGAGAAAGATTCTGAAGGAGAAAGAGAAAGATTCTGAAGGAGAAAGAGAAAGATTCTGAAGGAGAAAGAGAAAGATTCTGAAGGAGAAAGAGAAAGATTCTGAAGGAGAAAGAGAAAGATTCTGAAGAAAGTAGAAAACAATGAATGATATAGATAAAATAAATAGAAAATAGAAAAGAATTAATGATGTAGAAATGGAAAAAAGATATTTGCTTTACTTACCTTGCCGCTATTGTGGCTTTTGGAATGAGAAAAATCCAAGCGACAACCATTAAAATACCTGAAAGTGAAAAGTTTGAATAAAAAAGCTTGACTCGAGCGAAATATTAAAATCTTACAGTTTAGCTTTAACGATTCAATCAATTCAATCAATTCAATCAATTCAATCAATTCAATCAATTCAATCAATTCAATCAATTCTATCAATTCAATCAATTCTATCAATTCTATCAATTCTATCAATTCTATCAATTCAATCAATTCTATCAATTCCTCAACAAACCATGAATTGATCCAAGCCAAAACCTTTTCTTTGCCCACTCCGGATCAACATTTGACTTTGTCGTGTTCATTTCGGCAAGAGTTGTAGAAAGAAACTTAAAACAAAAGCATTTTAGCAAGGTTTTAGCTATTTTTAGCATTTTAGCATTTTAGCTTTTAGCTAGCTAAGCTATTTTTTTTTCAAATCGATTCAAATAAAGAGCTTTTTTTTAGATAAAACTTTGCATAAATCTCAGAACCTCAAAATCTCAAAATTTCTCTAAAACCAACCAGAAAACCCAGCCATCGCATTGTCCTCAAAAAATCGTTCAACTTTGAAAAAAGTAAGTCTAGATTTATCGTATTTAAACAGAAAAGTTGAATCTTGATTGAAAATTGAAAAAAAAAAGAAAAGAATACCATTCATTTGAGGTCAATCAAGGTCACATAAACACAAAAAGCACATTTCAAAAAGCACAGCATTGAAAAAGCATTGTCATTTCTTAAAAATAAATGTAAAAGTTTAAAAAAAAGTGTGAATGTTCTTTTTTTGTCTTTTTTTTTGATGATGATGATGATGATGAAAGAAAAGAAAGAAATAACTGTGATGTATTGGAAACAAAAATCATGAATAATTCATGAAGGGAAATGGGAAAATAAAAGAGATTCAATTGTTGAACAATTAAATTGGTAATCGAAGATTGATTTGTGATTTGTGATTCGATTTATTCGAGATTATTCGATTATTCGATTCTTCGATTATTCGATTTATTCGAGATTATTCGATTTATTCGAGATTATTCGATTCTTCGATTATTCGATTTATTCGAGATTATTCGATTTATTCGAGATTATTCGATTCTTCGATTATTCGATTTATTCGATTATTCGATTCTTCGATTTATTCGATTATTCGATTATTCGATTCTTCGATTTATTCGATTCTTCGATTATTCGATTTATTCGAGATTATCCGATTCTTCGATTTATTCGATTATTCGATTCTTCGATTATTCGATTCTTCGATTATTCGATTCTTCGATTTATTCGAGATTATTCGATTCTTCGATTTATTCGATTCTTCGATTATTCGATTTATTCGATTATTCGATTCTTCGATTCTTCGATTATTCGATTTATTCGAGATTATTCGATTATTCGAGATTTATCTAGCACATTGAATCTTTTTCGACAAAGAGATCTGTTTCCTTGAAAGAAATTTGAGTGTGCGAATGGGTGAGCGTTTTCGACAGCATGAAATACAAGTAAAGCTATGTAATTTTTACATGTTGAACCAATTTTGAACGACACTTTCAATCAATTTTCTACGATTTAAACTAGAGTGTGTTCCTCGCGAGTAATGCGTTTTTTTTAAAACGCACATTTGGGAAAAAATTATCATACTTTTAGCAAAAATTATTGAAAAAAAATGGGGGTGGGACAAATGCGACCTTTTTTTGCGAAAAAATATTTCCATAGAAGGGAATCGTATGCGTAGATTCCGAATTTCGACAAATCAGACCTCGCTGACACGTCAAATTTGGGCTAAAAGGCCAAAACTGCGGAAAAGCGTTAAGTTGCGTAGTTTTGCCTTTTAGCCCAAATTTGACGTGTCAGCGAGGTGTGATTTGTCGAAATTCGGAATTCGCATCCGATTCCCTTCTATATTTTTCGAAGCTCTACGACTTTTCCTAAGGCCTTTTCCAGCAAAAAAAAAGGTGCGCAAATGTCCGGGTGCGCAAAAAAGGTCGCATTTGTCCCACCCCCCAAAAATGATGCAAAAATGGCGAGCCCCGCATTATATACGACACTTTTAAAGATACTCAGATTTTGAACTGATTTGGCGGGAAATTCCCTTACAATGTCAAAAATGATTGTTTTTTGAAAAACATGCGCAAAAAATTGCTTTTATATTTTTTTTCGCACAGGCGCACTTTCAGAAAACACATTACTTTTCCTAAAATAGATTTCTTTAGAACAAAGTGCTTAAATTAGAGTGTGTTTTTGAGTAATAGCTCGAATAATTAACGAGCTATTACTCGTTAATTATTCGAGCTATTACTCAAAAACACACTCTAATTTAAGCACTTTGTTCTAAAGAAATCTATTTTAGAAAAAGAAAGAGCCTAAAAAATGTTAGGCATAATTAGCTAGCTAAATTTTCCAGAACAATCAATTCAGCTAAAATCTTTAGAAAACTTTTTTATCGAATTTTGACGCAAAAAAAGCTTTTTTCACTTGGATTTTCTTGAAACAAGCTCAAATTGATTGAAAGATTGAAAAGTCTACGATAAACATTTTCTATTTAAACAAACCGTAGAGCAATTGTTAAACTTTTCATTTCTAAACACATTTATCAAAAATAACTCGATTTATCGATTAAAGATCAAAGATTCAACGACTCAACGACAAGCTTACAAAGTCGAAAATGACAGCAAAATACAGCTGGTCGAATCAAAGCTTTTCAACGTTCAAATATTAATTAATGAAGAAGAATGTTATCAATGAAGAATATTATTAATGAAGGGTATTATCAATAAAGAATATTATTAATGAAGAATATTATCAATAAAGAATATTATCAATAAAGAATGTTATCAATAAAGAATGTTATCAATAAAGAATACAAAAATGAAGATATTTTTGCAATCAGTTCCCGAAAATATTCAGCAATGAAAGCGGGAATGATCGATGATTTGCGAGGGGTCCACGCCCAGTCAGTCCCTTCGATCCCCTCAATCCTTTCTCCAATCATTCTTCTTCTTTGCCGATTCTCTTCCCTTTCATCAATTGTACTCTCAAGGACATAAACGATACCATCACTCAATAACATTTCAGAACCCTGTAATATCTTCACTTTTATCTTCACTTTTATCCTCACAATCTCATTCATTTCTCATTTCATCTAACCTTAACTGAAAAGAAGATCTAATCGAGTGAGTGTTGTTGTGCAAATGAAAAGTATATGTCATAATAGTTGAAATTCGTTGTGATTATTTTGTTTTGTTTGTCAAATCTACTAGAATCTTTTACCCTAAAGTCTCGAGTATAAGTTGATCCGAGTATAAGTTCTGCCTTAATTTACATTCGCTTTAATTGCTTTGAATTTCTTTTTGTTGGGTTTTATACATTTTTATTGTTATATAAACTTTTATTATTGTTCTTGGAGCGCGGGATACTACAGGGTGACAGCCTATCACCATTGCTATTTGTTATGTGCATGGATACATCCAGACGATAGTGTTGAAGACGAAGAAGACGCTGGAAAGCATCTCTTTCGACCGTCGACGTGGACTTTGGCCGGATGAAGAGGCCAGGGAGGGATCCATAAGACTGAGCACCGGAGAGGAGCAGGGCGGACGCGCCGAGCCACGCCCGGAGCAACAAATAACAGCATAAAATTGCTATAACCCTCAATAAATTTACTTCTATTATTGTTCTTAAAAAGCAAAAAAGTTATGCTGCAGCGGGGTTCGAACCCTCGACACACCGCACCGGAGACAGCCGTCAATTTGCATGCGAAAACCAAACAGAACTTATACTCGCGACTTTAGGGTAATTAGATAGCAATTTCTTCTTTGTTAATAGTGTTGACTTTTAGAACTCTTTCCTTTTGAAGAAACTTTTTGACGTCTCTTCCTTAAACTTACAATAATCTGTGCTCCATCAATATACAAATCATGAATTGAGCCTTCACAGAAGATTTTCTCCTTCAAGGTTCGCGTATGTTTCTATCTAAAAAAATCTTTTAATCATATTTTTCATCAATCAAAAATTTCTTTTAATCATATTTTTCAAGTTTTTATAAGTAAAGCCATTTTATCTAAATCATTTTGAATGAAACCTTTATCTCCGATCGGCTGTGCGCGAGATCCGATCTGCATAATGGCTCTGAAAAGCTTTTAGAATTGGTAAACTAATCAATTTTCTGAAAACAAACCATCGACAATGTATTTCCTCACAAAATGAGCAGCCAAAGTCGAATTTAAGGTCAATTTCTTCAGGAGATTCCTCGAGAACGCATCATTTGTGGGTACAAAAACAGTCATTGAGGATTTCTAGACAAAAAAAGATAAGATTAACAGGGAAGATCAAGACCTACATGATATTTGAAAAGACTTTCGACTCCACTTTTTGTTAAAAGATTCGAGAAATTGCTGAGATCGTCCCCCGCGATTGGATATATTCAACGATGTTCATCCGAGAGCTTTTGATCGGCTGAAATTCATCTGATACCGTATTTACTCTATTAGTGGGGTCCCCACTATTTTTCAATCCCCTTCCAGATGACCCCACTATTAGAGAAATTTAAAAGAACATAAAACCAAAGTTTTAAATTGAAAAGATATCAAT